TATTCCTTAGTTAAACCATTGAAGAGTTCCCTAGTGAAACCAGTGAGTCAAGATATTTCTTAAGGGAAATATTAAATTTTGGATTCAGTTTCTTATAACATTTTCTATTTTTTGTGTCAGTTTTCTTAAGCTGTTTTTTAAAAGAATTTGACCATTTCTTCTAAATTATCAAATGCATTGTCATAAAGTTGTCCTTAATGTCTTCTTGCTTACCTTTTAATGTCTATAGACTATGTACTGATATCCCACTTTTAATTTTTCTAAAATTTGAATATTCTGTCTTTTTATTATTCATGCTAGGGGTTATCAGTTATTAATATTTTCAAATAACCGACTTTTGACTTTCTTAATTTTCTCATACTGCTTTTTATTTCATTGAGTTTTGTCCTTGCTGTGTTATTTTCTTCTTTGTTTTACTTTGGCTTTGCTTTGCCATCTTTTCCTAGCTACTGGAGATGGTAGCTTTTATCATTGGTTTTTTAACTTTCCTTCTAACATGCATTTTAAAGTTATAAATTATCCCATAAGCATAGCTTAACCTGACTCTCACAAATTTTGATGTTGCATTTCCATTATCAATTAAAAGTGTTTTAAAATTTCCGTTGTGATTTCCTCTTTGACAAATAATTTTCTGTTACTGGTTTCTAGTTTAATTCCACTGTACTCAGAAAACATACATATATGATTTCAATCTTTTGATACTTGTTGACTTGCTTTATGTCCTGATATATATGGTTTGGTGTATTCAGTATTGAGTACTTGAGAAGAATATATTTGTGCAGTTGTTAAGTATAGTATTCTATACATACTAATTAGATTAACTGAATTGGTTAATAGTGATATAAAATCTTTTATGTTCTTAGAATTTTTCTTCTGTGAAACTATTTTTATTTCATTTTCATGTTGGAAGGATATTTTCCCTTAGTATAGAATTCTAAGTTGACTGGTTTATTTCCTAATTTTTTTTGTCTTAACCACTTTAGAGGAGTCATTTTATTGTCTTCTGTTATTTCTGATTTTAAAAGTTAATTATTAATTTTATTGCTGCTCCTCTCAAAGTAATGTGTCTTGTTTTTCCTGGCTGCTTTTACAATTTTCTCTTTGACTTTGGTTTTAGTACTTTGACTCCAATATATTTAGGTGTAGTTAGTTTTCTTTGTATCCTGCTGAGGGTTGTAGAACTTCATAGTTCAGATATGCTAGGGTCACATATACTTTTTTAACCAAATACTCCTTGTGTTTTCAGTTTGTATTATCTATGTTTGTGTAACATCAATTAGATGTGTGTTAGATCTTTTCACTGTGTTGTGCGTCTTTTCACTCTTTTTTGTGTTTTTTCCTTTATATCTATGTATCATATTTTTTACACATTTATTCAGCAATCCTGTTTTGCTGTTATTAAATGAATGATTTCTTTATTTTAATGTTTGTTTTTTGATTCTGGAATTTCCATTTGATTATCTTATCCGAATTCTAGGACTTTGCTGAAATTTTTCACTTCTCCTGTATTTAGTTATTTCTTTTTTTCTTGAGCATACCAATCACAGTTATTTATTTTTAAATTTCTTCATTTTTTTTTTGAGTTGGAGTCTCACTCTGTCAGCCAGGCTGGAATGCAGTGGCATGATCACGACTTATTGCAGCTTCTACCTCTTGGGCTGAGATGATCCTTCTGTCTCAGCCTCCTGAATAGCTGGGACAGCAGGTGCATGCCACCATGCCCAGCTAATCTTTTAAATTTTGGTAGAGATAGGGTTTGTTATGTTGTCTAGGCTGGTTACAAACTCCTGGGCTCAAGTAATCCTCGCGCCTTGGCCTCCCAGAGTGCTGAGATTACAGGGATAAGCCACTGTGCCTGGCCCAAGTCATAGTTATTTTAAAATCTCTCTGGCAATTCCAAAATCTGAATAAGTTATGTGCCTTCAAAAAATTTTTCTGTTATTTCTTATTTATCCATTCTTTTTTTGTTGAGGTAAAATTCATATAAAATTCACTATTTTAACAGTTTTAAAATACATAATTCAGTGGTTTTTATTATATTCGAAGTTGTGCAACCATCGCAAGTATGTAATTTAACAACATTTTCGTCACCCTAAAAAAGAAACCCATATTTGTTGCAGTCGATCCTAATTCTTCTGTCTGCTTATCCCCTACAACTAATCTACTTTCTGTCTCTGTAGATTTGTCTTTTCCTGACAGCTCATATAAATAAAAGCATACAATGTGTGACCTTTTATGTATAGCTTCTTTCAACTTGGCATAATGTTTTCGAGGTTCTTCCTTGTTATAGCGTGTGTTAGTACTTCATTCCTTTTTGTGGTTGAATAATATTCCATTGAATTCATATACTCCATTTTGTTTATCCATTTGCCAGTTGGTGAGCATTTGGGTTTTGTCCACATTTTGTCTACCATGAATAATGCCATTGTGAACATTTGCGTGTGAATTTTGTGTGAATATGTGTTTTCAGTTTTTTTGAGCATATACCTAAAGTGGAATTGTTAGGTCATGTGGTAACTCTCAGCTTAACTTCTTGAGAAATGTCAGATTGTATTACACCATGACTGTGCCCTTGTACCTTACTGCCATTTTATATGAGTTTCAATTTCTCTACATTCTTCCAACACGTGTGTTTTCTGTTGTTTTTATCTTTATGTTTTTATTATAGCCATTCTAGTGGATACTGGTCATTTATTTTTACTTTTTAGAATGCCTTGCAATTTTTAAAAGAATGTCAGACATTGTGGATGAATAGTTACGCAAGCTCTAGTTTGTATTACTTTCCTCCAAAGACAGTTAAATTTTCCTTTGGTATATGAAGTACTAGGAGTTCACCTGGAGTTTGTTGAGGTGTTGATAATAAGACTTGTTAGGGCTGATGCCTTGCAATTTTGACCTTAGTCTAAGGAGAGGTTCTTATGTAGTCTCAACAGAGAGTGAGGTGTTTATGAAGGCCCTTCAAATTTGGTGGGACCTACACTCTAATCTTTGTCCAGCAGCTGGAATCTCTGTTTAGCTCTTCAACTTCCTAGCTGCTGTTTTCTTGAATTCTCCTTTTGTTGTTTTTCTTCTCTAGGAATTTCTTTTTTTAGTTTTCAGCTCTTTAATAGTTGGACACTCTCACTCCTTTATCCTCAGTTTAGTTGGACACCCGCTTTCCACTTTGACTCTATTCCTCTGTTACACAACTAACTCAAGGACAAAGCCAAGGTGGTCTGGGTTTGGTGACTCATGTATGTAATTCCAGCACTCTGGGAGGCCAAGGCGGGAGGATCGCTTTAGTCTAGGAGTTTGAGACCATCCTGGGCAACATAGCAAGATCCTGTCTCTACAAAAAAAATTAAAAATTAGCCGGACATGATTATGTGTGCCCGCAGCCCCAGCTACTCAGGAGGCTGAGGTGGGAGGATCACTTGAGCCCAAGAGTTCTAGGCTGCAGTGATCACTGCAGTTCAGCCTGGACTATGGAGTGAAACCCTGTTTCTGAAAAAACAAAAGCCAAGGTAATTGTGGAGCTGGTCATATGCGCTTCCCTTCTTTCAAGAGTTATAACTCCTCCTGTTCCTTTTCTAAGTTGATCTTTAATGTCTTCAAATAGTTTTTACATTTTGTCTAGATTTTATTGATACAAGCTACTCTATCAAGATTGTAACAGTGACTAATGATGTTTTATTAGTTGAATTACACTAATTTCCTCACTATTGAAAGTGAGAACATGAATTTTTAACAGAAAATTTGGACAAGAATATAGGTAAAAGGATTTTTGTTTTCACACGGAATAGGGTCAACGTCAGTCAGTTTTGAAGGATGATAAAGGATGATTCAGAGTAAGATGTGACTGAGTTGTTTGGGTTTTTTTGGGTGAAAACTGAACAAGGTTATTAAGTGAAGAATACAAATTGGATAAATAAGGATGCGAATTGAAGTTCTTAATAAACAGCAGTTATCTGGATTTAGTAGTGAAGAAATTAAAATTCTGCTTTTTGAATGGGTTTTATTAAAGTAGCACTTGGTTATTTCTGTAAATGTTAGAGATTGTTAACTGTTTGGAGGCTAAAGAACAGTGAATATTTATTAAATGTGCCAGAGAGAATTGTGTTCACAAAATCTTGAATGGTTTACAGTAACTAACTAGTCATCTAAAAATGTGGGACAAAGAGAACCACTGACAGTATAGGAATGGACATTATGTTCAGAACGTCGAAGTAGAGAACGAAGACAGAAGTAGATTTGTAAAGAATAATGAATACTTCCTTCTATAGGATTAAAAAGGAGGGTTTGGAAAGAAACTAACCATTTACTTTCTCCACCAAAATATCCCCAAGAAGGAGCCTGGTGTTTCAGACCATCTATGTCTATGCTTTTCCTTTTGCCCTTTCATGAACTCTCAAGGTTAGTCAGTGGTTTCTTCAAAATTTCATTAGGAAATTTGCCAAAGGCATCCTTTTGAGGCAGCTGTCTCTGTACCCTTGGAGGCCATCCGTAATGTTTCCAGTCTATAGCAGTAGTCGGCACAAAAATGTTAAACTGAGCAGTTGTCTTTGTGTTTTAAAACATTCCTCCAATGCCACTGTCCTCCACACTCCCAGATAATGTAAAGTATGTCACATTTTGAACCTGTGATCCTTTCATAGTTTTTTGTTATTTTACTTTTCAGGTAAAATTAATAAATATATCCAAACATGTCAATAAAAAAAGGAAACGGTTTTAAAACATAATTCAAATAACAGTAGACATATTAGAAATGCTTAATATATAAATAAGAATTCTTTTTGTATATAATGTTAAAATTTTTATTTTCACTACTGGGATTTTATAAAGTATACTTTAAAGTTTAAATATGTTAATAAGTTCATGTTTAAAATGCATTAGGAAAAATTGAAATGCATTTGTGTTTTTGTTCCTGTGCATTTAATAATATAGACAACTGTTTTACCATATGTATTTTTAATATATTAGTCTAACTGTTCCTCTTGTTTTACTAAACTGTCTTCTTTCAGCCACCCACACAGAATATGCCTATGGGTCCTGGAGGGATGAATCAGAGCGGCCCTCCCCCACCCCCGCGTTCTCACAACATGCCTTCAGATGGAATGGTAGGTGGGGGTCCTCCTGCACCACACATGCAGAACCAGATGAACGGCCAGATGCCTGGTAAGTTTTTCTCCTCTAAGACATTAACACCAGAGTTGCTTAGCAACTGAAACGACATGGGGGCTCAAGGGATACTAGATTGTTGATGACAAAACTGCTTTGAATGCCCCCGAGTACAGGCTCTCTTAGAGTTTGTTAGCTACAGAGCTACGTGACCTGTATTCAGTGTTTATCAGGCTGCCCTTGGGCTTTGATGTAGCTGACACACAGCATTCCTCTGATGAACAGAACTGGCTAAATTTAGTCTGTCTGAAACTGCAGTACAGTTGGCTTTAGAAGGTTTTTGGGAAAAAAGGCATTGTGCCATGGCTTAAAAATTAAAATCTGTTTAAAAAAGGCATTATAACATATCCCTGAGATTTTATTTACTTAAAAAGTGATTGATCTCTGAAACAGTATCACTGGGAAAAAACACATGGGGAAAGAAACAAAACAGTCTCTAAAGTGCTAGTGTGTTTAGTATTTCCTCATTGATATTATTGAAGCTGAATCTAGACCTTTTTTTTAATACATATGCTTATAGCATAACATATATATAGGTTGGGTTTTTTTAATTTTTAATTTTTTAATTGTCTTTTTGAGTCGGAGTCTCACTCCGTTGCCCAGGCTGGAATGCAGTGGCATGTTCATGGCCACCCCAGTGTTAACCTGCTGGGATCAGGTGATCCTTCTGCCTCAGCCCTCCAAGTAGCCGGAACTACAGGTGCGCGGTATACCACACCTGGCTAATTTTTTATTTATTGTAGAGATGAAGTCTCAACCACGATGCCCAGGCTAGTCTTGAACCCGTAGGCAATCCTCTTGCTTTGGCCTCCCAAAGTGCTGGGATTACAGGCTTGAGCCACGGTGCCCGGCCTGGGAATTGATTTTAAAGCAAAATTAAAAGCTGAAGAATAATGTAAGCTTTCTTATACAGAGCTATTCTCTTGTCTTTTTATCCATTTTAAGTTTTTAGTTATTAGAATAATAGTTTTTTAGGCCATGAAGTGCTTATTTAGATACTCTTTGCTGGTTTTATGAAAAGTATCTGTACCATTTGTTTTTGTTACAACAGCAACATCCCATAGCCATAATTTTTGGTGGCGTATTCTCTGCATTTAATATGAGAATATTTTTACTTTCTAAAGACAAAAGTTACTTTGATTAACAAAAAGAAAGTATTATACAGTTGGCAATAATGGAAGTAAATTAAAATGACAGAACAATTTATTATTAAAATTAGTAATTAGCATCCCTAGGATAGTGTTTTCTCTAGCTGATTGTGTTGATTAATAACATTGGTATCTAAGGATGTCTAAGGAAGATTGTTGTAGAAGCAAAAGAAAGTACAGTGCAAAGAGGCAAGGTAGCCTGGTTTATAGAAGATTGATGAGCAGCTGATCATGTAGGAGGGTAGTGGTATTTCAGAGGCTGCCTCATATTTCCTGCTAAGACTTGTGACATTGATGGCCCACACCAAGTATGGAAATAGGAACTACTTTTTCAGTTTGTAGTCAGATTGTAGTCAGGAGAAAGCTTCCTGTCAAATCCACATTTCGCTCACCAGGACACATCATTTTTAGAACTAGAAAAGTAGTGTTAGTGTAAGTTAGCTAGTTAGGAGTTTTGTGACTTTTTATGCTGGTACCTTTAATTAGGATTTTGACTAAACTTCTTCATATAACATTCAAACTTAAGGCCAAAGAAGCATTTGAGCTTCAATACAATTATTGTTAGCATGACATTTGTTTTGTGTATAAGGCCATCTGGAGTGGTATATTTTTTTATGAGCCAGAGATTATCAACCAGTATGACTTAGGTAGTCCAAAATACTGTAGAGCTTCTAAAACAATAGTTAAGAGACTCTCCTAACAATACTGTGGAGTTAGTTAAGTATGGGAGAGACCGGAAGGCCATACCTATATTTTCTGTTCCTTATAGAGTTTAGCCAACCTTTTTTTGCACACAAATTTGTATCTTGGTTCTTAATTTCCTACTTTAGTTTTTGTTTTTGTTGTTCTTTTTGACACAAGGTCTCACATTGTCACCCAGGCTGGAGTGCAGTGGTTTGATCTTAGCTTACTACAGCCTTAAACTCTGGGACTTGAGGGATCTTCCCACTTCAGCCTCCCAAGTAGCTGGGACTTCAGGCACTCACCACCACACCTGGCTAATTTTTAAAGATTTTTTTGTGGAGACAGGGTCTCACTCTGTTGATCAGGCTGGTCTTGAACTCATGGCCTTAAGGAATCCGCCTGCCTTGCCCTCCCAAAGTGCTGAGATTATAGGCTTGAGCCACCTCCCCTGGCCAAGTTTTCTTTTTAATATGTATTTTATTTTCTAATCTTAGTTGCAGAACTATGTATATTGTTTCCTTTTGGTTAAATAACCTCTCAGTCTAAGGTTACTTTTGAAAAAAAATGGATTTGTATAAAACTAGATAATGCATGCCTGGAACCAAAATCAAAAGATTCAAAGGGTATACAGCCCTTACTTTTCCAGATACTTAGTTCCAGGGAGGTATGGGTTTCTAGTTATCTTTCAAGAGATAGTCCTTCTGTATTAAAAAAAAAAAGCATATGTATTTTCTTTTGAACATATGGTAACACACATTAAATAATACTGTATATCTTTTTATATATCTTGAAGACCATCATTCCATTCGGTATATAAAGAACTGTTTCACTCATTTTGTTGACTGCATCACATTCTTTTTTATGGGTGTACTTTTATTGTTTATTTATTTATTTAAGAAGGCAGGATTTATTGAGAAGACTGAAAAGCTCCAACAGTGGGAGGGGACCTGAAGGGGTTGCTCTATAATTTATTTGAACATTTTCTTTATGAGTCAAAATATCACTCTGTTGCCCAGGCAGGAGTTCAGTGGCACAATCAGGGCTCACTGCACCCTTGACCTCTTGGGTTCAGGTGATCCTTGCAAACACACACCACCACACCTGGCTAATGTTTTCTTGATTTTTTTGTGGAGACGAGGTCTTGCTGTGTTGCCTAGGCTTGTCTTGAACTCCTGGACTCAAGTGATCCTTCTGCCTCAGCCTCCCAAAGTGCTGGGATTACAGGTGTGAGCCACTGTGCCTGGCTTTTTCTAATCTTTTGATATTACAAATTATGCTGCTATGAATATACCTGTAAAAAAAAAATGTATATATTTGTGCATACTTACATTCTTTGTTTTGTATCCATAAAGACATTCACACAAAAACTTGTATATCTGTAGGCTCTATTTCTAGGACTGAAGTTGTTAGGTTAAAAAATATATGCATTTTAAAAGTCAATAGTTATTGCCAAATTGCTCCATATAAAAATAGTACAGTCAGACCATATTTGTGTGTTTCGTATCTCTGGATTCAACCAACTATGAGGGATTGAAAATATTTGGGAAAAAACTTGACTCTGTACTTAACATGTACAGACTTTATTTTTCTTGTTATTCTCTAAACAATACAGTATAACAAGTATTTACATAGCATGTACATAGTATTAGGTATTATATGCAATCTAGAAATGATTTAAAGTATATAGGAGAATGTGTGTAGGTTATATATAAATACTGTGTCATTTTATATGAGGTACTTGAGCATTTTCAGGTTTTGGGATCTGTGAGAGGTCTGGAATTAGTACCTCATGGACATTGAGGGATGACTGTACTTCATTTGAAGTGCTGCTTGTCATCGCAGATTTACTTAAGCTTGATCCCATCTTTAGTTCTCTGTGGAATATACATAACGTTTATAGTCCCTCAATATATGAAAATGCTTCTTTCTTCTTAATATAGTTGGATGAATACTTGATGTTTGACAATCTGAAAGATGAAAGTTGGGTCTCATAGTTTTAATTTGTTTTTTTGTTAGATTATACGTAAAGGAATCTTTGTTTATGGACTTTTTGTAGTTTTTATGTGAACTGGTTATGTCCTTTATATGTTAAGTTTGGTCTGTAACATGTCTTGTAACATGTCTTGTAAGTAATATTTTCCCCACTTTATTTTTTAACTTATTTTTGTGAGGTTTTTTTTTTGTCATGTTCACATTTTTAATTTTTATGTAGTCTAATAGATCAATTTTTTATGATTGGGCTTTTTGGAATACTCACGAAGCTCCTTCTATTTCAAGGTTGTCTTAAAAATTTGCCTTATGGTTTTTTCTTTTTTAGCATCTAACTTTTTTATCCACCTGGAATTAGTTAGTGGAAGGAATGAGTGATTCAACTTGCTTTTTTTCCACATGGCTACCTAGTTGTCATAATGCCATTTTCTGAATTAGTTTCCTGTTGCCCAGTGATGCTAAATATCACCATGATTATTTACTCAACTATGTCTTTGGTGTTTTTTGGCTATTCTGGTTCATTGAATAGGCTAACTATTAGCCTATTCAATTATGTTCTATATTCATACGTTTAATTTACTTGAGCTTTATGGTATGTTTTGCTCTTTTAGAAAGCTAGTCTTATCTCAGTACGCTTCTTTTTCAGAATGTTTTTGGTGTTTCAGAAGCATCAGTTTCTTAAACTGTAAAATGGGAATAATAACATCTTCCTCAAAGTGTTTGCTATCACTCCAATACACAATTTACTTTGTTTACTGTTGATTAAATACTCAAGTTATTATTTGGTATTATCATCATAATGCAGAAAAGTACAAAGCCTTTTTAGATAATTTTGTATGAACCGTCTGTTTAACGTTCATATTTTGGTTCTGATCGTTTTTCTTCCAAGGGCCTAACCATATGCCTATGCAGGGACCTGGACCCAATCAACTCAATATGACAAACAGTTCCATGAATATGCCTTCAAGTAGCCATGGATCCATGGGAGGTTACAACCATTCTGTGCCATCATCACAGAGTATGCCAGTACAGAACCAGATGACAATGAGTCAAGGACAACCAATGGGAAACTATGGTCCCAGACCAAATATGAACATGCAGCCAAACCAAGGTAACTGAACTTTATGTCCTTGTTGAATAGAATGCTGTGTTAACCTTTGAAAGTAGAACAATTTTATAAAGTCCTTAGCTTATTCAAACCTTAAAATATAGGTTTGAAGTGACAGTCATGCCCATAAAAAGGAACGTTGAATTTGAAACTAGTTTTTTTAACATTTGTTAATTAAATTGCTCAATTTAGGTTTTGTTTGCTTGTTTGTTTTTGAGTTGGTGTCTCACTCTGTTGTCCAGGCTGGAATACAGTGGCATGGTCATGGGCTCACTGCAGCCTCAACCACCTGGGCTCAGGTGATCCTTCTGCCTCAGCCTCCTGCATAACTGGGACTACAGGCACATGCCACCATGTCTGGTTAGTTTTTTGATTTTGATTTCTTTTTTTTTTTTTTTTTCTTTTTTTGAGTTGGAGTCTCACTCTGTCACCCAGACTGGAGTGCAGTGGCCGCTTCCGGCCACTGCAGCCTTGACCTGTTGGGCTCCAGTGATCCTTCTGCCTCAGCCTTCCAAGTAGCTGGAACTACAGGTGTGTGCTACCACACCCGGCTAATTTTTTATTTATTGTAGAGATGAGTTCTCGCCAAGTTGCCCAGGTGGGTCTTGAACCCGTGGGCTCAGGCAGTCCACTCACCTCAGCCTCCCAAAGGCGCGGGATTACAGGCTGAGCCACTGAGCCCGGCTCTGATTTTGATTTCTATAGAGAACAAGGTCTTGCTATGTTGCCTAGGCTGGTCTTAAACTCCTGGGCTCAAGCAGCCTTCCTGCATTTGTCTTCCAGAATGCTGGGATTATAGATGTGAGCCACTGTACCTGGCCAAAACTGATAGGTTTTTTGTTTGTTTATTTATTTTATTAAGAAATGGATCTTGCTGTGTTGCCCAGGCTGATCTCAAACTCTTAGCCTCAAGGTTCCTCCCACCTCTGCCTCCCAAAGCTGGGACTACAGGCATGAGCCTCAGTTTAGCTTTTTAAGCTTGCTTATATTTGTCTTTTGGACAGTTTATTTGGGATTCTGTATTAATGAATTGTTTTTAAAGCCAATTAACGAATAACTAAACATTTGCTTTAGAGCAGAAAATTGAGACGTTAATAATTTTATCTTTCCAAGTACAACCACTTACAAAATATCTCTTTTTACTTATTAAGATCATATTAATTTCTATGCGTTTCCCTTAATGTATATATTTTCTGGTGCTGTGTTTCAGCATTAAAAGGTAATTCTAAAATATTTACTATTAGAATGTTCAGTGGAGGTGCTGCTCTACTCATCTTAGATGGCATTAGTCTATTAAAGTTTATTACTAGTCTCAGAGAATGAAACTGTATCACATTTCTCTTTTAAGTATTCTGTGAATAATAACTAAATGCCAGTAAGTGGCGCTCTGTTCTGCTAATTATCTGTAAAAACATTTGGCATATTGCCAGCATAAAGCTATTTTAATTACAAAATGTGGTGAGGTTAAGACTATAAGGTAGAATTAAATGTATTTGTAATAAAATTTTCTAAGTTTTGATTTTAAAAAGCAGATCACTAAAATGTGCCCAGATAATGGAAGCTAATGTTTATCTGTTGATAATCACATATGATGAGAATGCAATTTAAAAATATTAGTATATTTTTAATAATTTTGCTGAATATACTGAAAACAAAAGGAGATAATAGAGTAAATTGGCAATCATTGTAGCTTCATAAAACTGGCACTTGCTTCATTTTTCCCCCCAAATTATTTAGTGTCCATGGTAGAATTTTTTTTTTTGTTAGGTCAATTACAGGTTCAAAACAACAGCAAGATCCAGGCAGTGCTAGATCAGAAGGGAGTTAGATGTTTCTCCATACAGTTTGGTTACCAGGAGGGAGAGAGAGCCCGAAAATTGATAATGATTCTGACAACTGCAGTAATGATGGCACACTTCTTAGAAACATATAGTTAGGAAAAGGTATGGTGTACACAAAAAAGATGGATGTTACTGCATCATCGTTTGATTTGACATCTTAAGGTTTGAAGAAGTAAAAAATATGCGTGCAGCAATGTGCATGTAGAAAATAGTTAACTATTTCTGAAGAAAATGTTGAAGTGTTTACAGAAATTTTTTTTATAAACTTGAGGACTAGGTGTTCTTTTAAAGAATGTCTTATTTTGTAAGAATGTATAGGTTTTCCTTTTACTATAGTATAGTAGTTATATTACTTTTTGCTTTATACTCATAATTTATAAATTTTGTAATAGAAAATAGATACTATAAAGAATGACTACTTTGAGATCTGAGTTGAAGAAATAAAAGGCAAATTTCAAAGAGTAGGATGAAAATTTTTTTATTTTTGAGTCAGAGACTCACTCTGTCGCCCAGGCTGGAGTGCAGTGGCACACACAAGCCACCCCAGCATCTTACCTGCTGGGCTCCGGTAATCATTCCCCCTCAGCCTTCCAAGTAGCCAGAACTACAGGCGTGCGTTACCATGCCTGGCTAATTTTTTGATATATTGTAGAGACGAGGTTCACCAAGTTGCCCAGGCTGTTCTTGAACCCCTGGTCTCAGGCAATCCTCTTGCCTCAGCCTCCCAAAGTGCTGGGATTACAGTCTTGGGCCACCGCGCCTGGCCAGGATGAAAATTAATGAGGAAATTGTCTAAAAAATATCTCAGGACAAATAAAAACTTTTCATTAAATTTTGATGTTTCAGAATCAAAAGAATACCAAAGAAAGTTACAACTACCAAAAAAGGAAAGTTACACAACGGTCTGGCAATATTCACCTTTTTAATCCTATGAATTTCTTATAAAAGTATTTTAATTATGTATTATCTTTGAATTAAAAATTGTTTTTTATAATGAAAGTTTTATTAATAAAATTTTAATATTTGTTTCATTATAAAACATTTTCTTAGATGGTTTTTACAAAAATTAGCTACATATTTTACAGTAAAATTTTTTTTTGTTTAAATCTAAATAGGGGAAAGAAATTAGAAGAGATTACATTTTAAATAGTCCTTAAAGAAAAACTTTGAAAAAAAATCAAAACTCTCTAAAAGGAAACATTTTTGACTTTTAAAGTTTTTCTCATATTTGTTGAGAGATAATGAACCATTTTTTGGTTTAAAATAAAAATATCAAAGTATTTTCTTTCTTTAATGCCTTTTTATTTTAATTTTTTGGTATCTTAATTCAGTATGCACATTACATAATCTCACATTCGTATATCTTTTTTCCATTGCATTTTTTAAAAAAGTTTATTTTATTATAGCAATATGTGTTACAAGTGAAGATTAACACAAGTAGGCTACATGCAGGTGAACCATCATACTTTGTGATCTATCACAGAAGCAAAGCATTGAATACTGCATGTTCTCACTCAAAAGTGGGACCTGAACATTAATCACATTAGTACAAGGAAGGAATCAACAGTTGCTGGGCATTGCCAGGATGAGGGAAGCCCATAACAACACAAAGTATACCTAGTTCTAACCAGGGGAAGTGAGGGCCAGTTGGAGGCCCAAAATCTTTTGAGTAGTCCCATTTACTTTTATATACTTCTTTGTATGAAGAAATATTACAAAAATGTTATATTTTTTTTTTTTTGAGTTGGAGTCTCACTGTGTCACCCAGACTAGAGTGCAGTGGCTGCTCCTGGCCACTGCAGCCTCGACCTGCTGGGCTCTGGTGTTCCTTCCACCTCAGCCTTCCAAGTAGCCAGAACTACAGGCGTGTGCTACCATGCCCAGCCAATTTTTTATTTATTTATTGTAGAGATGAGGTCTCGCCAAGTTGCCCAGGCGGGTCTCGAACTGGTGGGCTCAGGCAATCCACTCTCAGCCTCCCAAAGCGTGAGATTATAGGCTAAGCCACCAAGCCCGGCTAGATACCAGTCTTTATTAATAGGGTTTTTAGTCAAGAAAAAAAATATTTGTAGAATTTCTTAGGTTAAATCTATGTTAAGTGACAAAACAAAATGAAAAAGGATCATCCAGATAATTCTGTTTTAAAAAATTAAATGATCTAGGTGCGATAGCTCAAGCCTGTAATCCCAGCACTTTAGGAGACCGAGGTGAGAGGATTGCATGAGCTCAGGGGATCGAGACCAGCCTGGGAAACATGGGAAGATCTCCTCTCTACAATAAATAAAAAAATAAGCTGAATGTGGTAGCGAGTGCCTATAGTTCCAACTACTTGAAAGGCTGGGGTGGCCATGGGCGTGCCACTGCCTTCCAGCCTGGGCAACAGAGTGACTCCAACTCAAAAAGAAAAACAATTTAAATGGAGTTTAGTCTATTTATTGTATTAATAATTATTAATCACTTGAGTGATATTTTTGGAAACCTTAACTGATTTTGTTTTAGTAGTAGTTTTCTAAACCAAACATGGCATGGTAAAGTCTGAATGCATTCATTCTAGTAGTTTTGAAGTGGTTCTGGTTTTTATTCTACTCTTCAAAATTGATTATAAGAATTATTTTATTTTCTCTTCCCTCCCTCTACTTCTCTCTCTCTCAGTTTTAAAAATAAAATTGTAAGAAGGGGAAAAGCCAAACTTTCTAACAATCTTCTCATTGTAATTTAATCTGAGTGAAATTAATCCAAAGGACAGATACATCATTCATTTACAGTTTGTCATTTTGATTGATTTTTTTAAAAGGAAGAGAAACAGCCTGCTTATTTATACTCTTAGCTCTAATGTAAGGTACATTATGTACAAGTGTTACGATGAAGATATTTTTCCTAGTCATAGACTTGTAGAATCTCTTTGAACTTCATTAATTCTTTAAAAACTGTGTTCAGCTTTTTAATATTTACTGAAAAAAAAAATTGTATTTTTTTTTTTTTAGTCTCACTCTCACCCAGGCTGGAGTGCAGTGGCATGATCATAACTCACTGCAGGTGATCCTTCTGCTTCAGCCTCTAGAGTAGTTAGGACTGTAGGCATACATCACCACGCATGGCTGATTTAACAAAAAATTTCTTTGTAGATATGAGATCTCACTGTGTTGCCAAAGCTGGTCTGAA